GATGTAGACAAGATCTTCAAGCTCAAAATGTCGGTTGGGTTTTTGCTATGAAAAACATGAAGGAAGGGAGTGATATGTCTAAGAAGAAATTCCGCAGAAAAAGAATTGTCAGAAAAAACGTATCTTTTGGCCAATTTCCGGCAAAGGGACGCCATCGGAGCAGGGATTTGTGTTGTGCGTGAAAATGGTGGAGAGTTTAATCGGTAAGGAGTTGATTTGGGGAGCGTTTTGAAATTGACAAGGACTGAATTGCAAATTCTGAAACTTTCATTATGGTGTAATGAAAATATTGGGGTTAATTTCAATTTTTTGATTTAAAGGGTATTTAGGTCTTTTTAGGTCAGAACACGCACCCCCAGCCACACAATTCGTGCGTGCAGAACATGATAAGCCGTTAGGGACCTTGTTGGATGTGACTAACTTTCATAAGGTGCTAATTTTTTTAACACAATGGTGGTTCTTGCAAAAAAAAAACCCTAACTTTTGCTCACGCGCAGTTGCGACAAATTTCAAAAACCGACCCCATTGATATTTTTTTTTCAAATAAAAAATTCAAATTCAGAAAATAGGGGAGGGACAAAATTTGACACTAGACCTCGGGTAAACAGCAAAAAACCCCCTTGTGTTAGAATAACATGCACCAAATCCCCCTATGTTCTTTTTATTGCATAAAACTCTCATGTGTTTTATTTTTGGGTAAATAGCACTTAACCACCTTGTGGTTTGGACATTTTGCACATGACCCTCTTATGGTATGAAATTAGGCACATAATCCCCTTGTGGTTTTGATATTTTGCACATGATCCCCTTATGGTATGAAATTAGTCACATAACCCCCTTATGGTTTTAAAATTTTGCACATGACCCCCTTATGGTATGAAATTAGCACATAACCCCCTTGAATAGAAAACTGGAAAAGACTAAACTACCCCTATAAAATCAAAAATTCTTGTTTTAATTTAAAAATAATTGTTCTATAAAATGAAAAGCTTAATATATTTTTTTGTAAAATGAGAAATATAATATATCATTGTGTTTTTTTAATTTTACAGCACAAAATGTATATAATACTAGTTATTGTACGATTGACAATTTATTCGATATTAAAAATCAATTTGAAAATCTTTAACATTATCATTAATTATGATTATTATATTACTATTTTCTATACAATATATTATATTATAGTTGTTATCGAACTTTAATTGTTTTAAGAAACAAAGTCTTTATTTTTTTATTCTTTTGGAAAAATCTAAAAAAAACATTTCTCTAAAGTTAAAATGAAAAATTAAATTAAACAAAAATATATGTGCTGTAAAATAGAAAAAAAGCCAATAATATATTATATTTCTCATTTTATAAAAAAATACATTAAACTTTTCATTTTATATAATAATTATTTTTAAATTAACAGAGGCTCTACCAACTATATATCCCACTGAGGGTTTGTACCCCATTACTAATTTGTGTTAAATGTGTTTAAAAGTTTTATGTTTTGTATTTCTGAAACCGTTGTGTAGTATTATGTTCTCATTACAACATCTATGTTGCTTTTGTATGTTCCACTTATTGTATGTGTACCATGGTTACGTTTGACAGATTTTTCATGCAACAAAACTCATCATATTTTCGGTTTTCGGTTTTCGGAATGTTATGCGGGCATCGAACATAGAGAAATTACTAATAGTTTGAAAAGTAAAGTAAAAAAACACAAAATCGAATTATTAGATCGAATAGATGAAAATAGTGGACTTGTAAAATGATATCAGATATTTTACATTTATAAACTGTTCATACTTGAATAAATAAATAAATCCTAAAACTTCAATATTTTTTATTTATATGTGTGTGATATTTTCCTCCAATCATGGTACTATCATCTTGATTCATTTTATGTTCTTTTGATTTTTTCCTTTCTGAATGTGGTTTTAATAAATGTAATTCTTTCAGGAAATGTGCAAGATAATAAAACATACAAGAAAGAATATAATTACAATAATAATGAAGATGATAATAATTATAAGAGTAAAAAGCAGTTTGCCCCCTAAACTATGGTCCGTTTTGCACTTTGCCCCCCAAACAAATTTTGTTTGCACGTTTTTACCTGAACTCGTTAATTCATTGCACGGTGCCTCCTAAAAGGAATATTCCGGCAATTTTCACCGGAATATTACAACACGTGTGTTGCACATGAGATTTTCAGGGGCAAATTTGTCCCTTCGATTACATTCTATATTTTAATCATTAAAAAAAAAAAAAAAAAAAAAAAAAAAAAAGAGTTGTCATCCCGTCGACCACCACCCTCCCAAAGCCAACCCGTTTCATCCCATATCCCAGAAAAAAAACTCCAGATTCTCATCAATTTTTAGTCTTGCTCCTCTTGGTGGTAGTGGTTATCTTGCTCATCTTCTTCCAATTTCGCATTCATCTTCGATTTCTCTTCGATTTTTCCCCTCGTTTTTTTCTTTTTATATTGATTCTTCCATCGGTGGAGGAATGCGATCTGCTGATTGTCGATTTGGGGCAACTCGGAAAATTCGCGGTCGGAGCATGCGAGAAGCAGATTACTAAGGCCTCGTCGGAGGGGGTTTCTTCTAGGTGGTCAACCATAGGATTTCGGGCCAGGTGATGGAGATAATGAGATGCAGATAGATTAATGGTGTTAAAAAAATTGACAGATCTTTTTTCCTTATCTCTTCTCTCTTTCTTTGATCCGTTCTCTTCTTTTTATGGTTGAATAAGGTTGTTATCCTTTCCCTTAAATGAATTAAAAACGTGAAGCTCTCTCTATCTCTGTGATATCAACAATAATTGAACCAGTGAGGATTTGAGGGAAGAAAACAAATGTCGGAAGAATTAACTAATTTAAAAAAATTTCCAAAATTCTTCGAAGGGGGCGATTACGAGGGGTGGGTTCATAAACGGGATCCACATTAAGAACATGGGTTCCAGGATCATTAGCAATGGATGAATCAAACGGGTTGTATTTCAAAACGGATTTTACGGTTTTTTCCTGGGCCGCAGCAGCTCCGGCGGCGAAAATGGAGGTCTTGCGGCGGATTTGAGAGGAAATGAACATGGATTAAAACATGGGTTGGTGGAGACTGTGCAGAAATTCTCCATTGATGAAGTCCTGAAGCAGGACTGTGTTATGAGCTGCGTGTGTGTGTGTGTGATGTGTGGGCGGGGAGAGAGGTAGAGAGAGAGGTGGTGGCACGGTGGGCGAAAGGAAGAAGAAGATAATATTTTTTTTATTTTTTGTTTTTCTTGTTTTATTTTTATTTAGTTTTTTGTTTTTTAAAGATTAATTTATATTTAATATACAACATGTAAGTGAATGGACGAATATACCCCTGCGAATGTCACGTGCAAGGCACATGTTTTAACTTTCCGGACAAAATTACCGGAAAATTGAGTTCAGGGGGCACCGTGCAACGAATTAACAAGTTCAGGTAAAAACGTGCAAATTTTTTTTGTTTGGGGGGTGAAGTGCAAATCGGCCCATAGTTTAAGGGGCAAACTGCTTTTTACTCTAATTATAATTAATACAACCAACTATTTAGAAGTTGGAACTTCTTTATTGCTAGAAACAAACATTGTTTTGTTACATGGAAAGGGAATGGATAAAGACGTGAGAGAGTCGATATTCTTCAGGGCCTATTAAGCAATGAACGATCATCGTAATCCGGTGAATATGGAGTTAATGAATACTCCGTATGCATGTTTGTTGAGATGGAAGAGAATATGTCATGAGACGACTCAGTTATGTCGTTATCATCTTGATTTTGCTGAAAAACCGAACCACCTTCTTTCCGCATTTGAATTCCTTCCAACTCGACTGCAACTTCCTTCATAGTTGGCCTTCTTCTGCCGTTCAAATGCAGACATCTTTTAGCAAGTTCAGCAATCGCCGCAATTTCCTCCCTCTTGCCCTCTTTGAGCACCCTTGCATCAAGAATATCGAATAAACAATTTTCCTCCATCGAGTATAAGAAATGTGTGGCTAAACTCCTTCCCACATCGGCTCTAATTGATGAGATGGCTTTCTCTCCAGTCAAAAGTTCAACCATAACGACACCAAAACTATAGACGTCACTCTTCTCTGTAAAATGGTTCGATTGGAAGTACTCTGGATCCAAATAACCGAAGGTCCCTAGTACTCGTGTCGTCAAGTGCGTTTGATCGATACCAATCGATCTCGATGTCCCGAAATCAGCTACTTTTGCCCGATATTTATCATCCAATAGTATGTTTGTGGATTTGATGTCCCTGTGATAAATAGGTGCAGATGAAGCACTGTGTAAGTAAAAAAGTGCTCCTGCTACTTCTCTGGCAATTCGCACACGCATTTCCCAAGATAAAGGGAACTCCTCGTTTGGATTGTGAACGTGTTGGAAGAGTGTGCCGTTGGGTATGAACTCGTAAACTAGAAGAGGAACATCGGTCTCCAAACAGCACCCCATTAGTTTGACTACATTCCTGTGATTTATCTGTGATAGAATAACAACCTCATTGATGAAGACTTCGAGATCAGCTTCGTCAACCTTCATGGACTTTTTTACTGCAACAATTCTTCCATCAGTCAACATTCCTTTATACACGGTACCTTGACCACCACGACCAAGTACACGATTTTCATTGTAATGATCAGTAGCTTTTTCTAACTCCTTGGAACTGAACAACTTGGTTTTCTGGAGGCCATTGTCCGTTGAAGACAACTGTTGTTGCAATAATAACCCTCCATTTCTCTTAAAGTACTTGCGTTTGCGGTTAGCCTTGATTCTTCTTTTGATTGCTGTGGTGGACTTCCATGCTCCAAGGAGCAAAATTAGTGCACCAAGCCCACTGCCAACGCTAATGAGCGCTACATTTCGGACTCGAGTTACATTGCTCTCATTTTCATAACTGTGATCGCATTCGTATGTCCCGTTTAAATTGAAACATTGATTTATGCATCTGTTCAATGTCGGATCGCTACATTCATCTATATCACTACATCCTGTAGGTAGATATGGGTTCCCTTCATACCCAACATCGCAAGCGCAATATTGTACAGTAGATCCAAAATAGATCGTAGGAAGCAATGAGCTCCATCTGATGGGATCCATGGGTACACAATGAGTAAAGTTGTTATGTTGTTTCTGAGCACTATCCAGTTCCCACTCGAGTACGAGTGGTGCAGATACAAAATCCTGGTCGTATGGATTCAACAAATCATTCTGAAGGCCCTTGTACCTTTTATATTCAAATTGGAACCATTCCTTGTTGACAGGGAAAGCGTATCCACATGAGCCATTAATAGTAACCACTCGCTTAATGCCTTGGTACGTATATTTAAGCTCCTTTAGTCGAGGTGGGATTGTTGTCTGGCAGCAATTGACTCCATTGCAACTGCTCTCTGTAGAATTAGCATCACACATGGCCATGCATCCGCCAACTGTAGTTGTTGCATTAGCACGCAGCCAGACCGAATTCTGACACCCCAAAACAACCAATGAGTTGTATCGGCCTGAGATGGTAAATGGACTGTTTTTTAGTGATTTTACCAAATACTGTGTTTCTTGTGCAACGGAGCATTTCATTGTTGCAACAGGATTAACTACCGTGATTGCCCCCCACAGAGATATGTTCAGTGCTTCCATATTTATGCTGCTCAGCAATGGTATCCTTCTTGGAGGAATACTAGTCGAATTTTGGCAGACAATTTCGAAGGAGGAATTGAAACTGCAATGAGAACCAATGCCAAAAGGATATGGAATTGTAATATTTCCACATATTGATTGACAACCAGGCTTGGACCAAGTTATTGCTAGCACCAAAGTTGTGGTAAGACATAATGATGAAATCACTCGGAGTAGTATAAATGGTATCCACATGATTTCTTGGAAAAACAATCGGTCTGCAGAAGCACGAAAAAATCGAGATTTAATTAGTACTCCTGATTGACCATAACTAGGAATTACAGGTGCATCCGTAACATAATTAGGGTATTTTAGGTTTGCATTTCATCTATTTTCCATGTTTCTTATTTTACTCTTCACCAAGTATCCGACAAATTGCAGCACCACCGTTGATGTAAGATCTAACTATATCCATACCCCTCTCTGTATCTATAAACTTTTATTAAAGAAAACCCAATAAAAATAAAAAAGAACCCATACTATATTATATTAAGGCAAACCTTAATTCGGATCTTTTTCATGCATTCGTTCATCTGTAATAAATGCATAAAAAATAGGTATCCAATATTCTTCTACCACATTCTACATGTCTTCTTCACACGGCCTTCAGACAAAAAAACTCATAATTAGATTGTAAAGGCTTTTGCAAACACCCCTTACGTTAGTTTTATCATCAAAGATGTTTTTATCTCTATCTCTATCGCTACCAACTTTAAAAGCATGAATGTTTTTTATTTCTTGACCTTTTTGAATTTCTTATTATGCCCATTATAACAAAGTTATACCATTAATTAGCTACGGTCAATTTTGTTATAACAATAATGAACATAATAAATTAACATAGCTTAATAATATCGTTTAAATATCAAGTGCATTTTCATATGTTATATTTATACCTAGGTGGCAATTTATTTTCTTCTTACTGTGACTCTTTCTACATATTGCAAATTTGGATGCAACTTACTTTGTATAAAACTATATTTGAAGAGCTTTCCAATGATATATTATAAACATATATATGTAAAAAAAATTTAAAATAAATTATTTGTTAAATTAAGCAATATATACATAGAGTAGTTTCAAATTTTAAATTAATCCGAATATAATTTTTATTAGTAAATACCAGTAATAGTATTTATATTATGATATTAAAAGTATGATTATCTTTTCATATATTATAGTTTCTTTCAAAACTCGGTGTTTATTTTCTTAAATTTTTAAATAAAATTTGTTTTCATTTAAAACTTTAGAGTTTTTCAGCAGGGTCATGGTCCCCCCTCAAACTTTAATTTCTTTTACAACTATACATGCATATATAATTTATTGTATTTTGTATTGTGCTCCTATAATTTTCAATAATTTAGTTTTATTTAAAAAGTAAAATTAAGATTTATTAATTAAAGAATTTATAGAAAAATAATAAATGAGTCTACTCAAGTCCGATCCACCTATAACTAAAAAAAACTCACTAAATTATAGCTAAATATTTATTGGGCAACTGGCAAATAAGCTCATGACAAAGCATTTAATTAGAAATGGATATCCTACTTTTTTGTCTTGCAAATATATTCACTCATTCAAACTTATTTGCAAATAAGAAAAATTCTTTTATATATATATAAATTACCGACAACTCCTTGAAATCTTAATTCAACACCAATTTCATGATTTACAGTCCAATTTACCCAATTTCACCAATTAACCAGTTTGACCCTTATTCCAATATTGAGCGCGCCTATGATCCGTCGTCGACTTTTTTTTTTTTCCGCCTAGGTCAGCATTGTTGACTGCCGGTCTCCGGCGTTAAATTTTTTAATTTTTTTTTTCTGAATTTGTTTTCCAGAATGTCAGCTACCGTTGACTGCCGGTCTCCGGCGTTGACTTTTTTGTTTTTTTTTTAAACTTTTTTTTTCAAAAAAAATATTTTCATTAATATGACTGTCTTGCCCTAGAATATTAATGTGTGAGATAATAATATTACTATCTGAATTTGTTTTTTTTTTTAATAAAAAAAATTATTTTCATTAATGTTTCCGTCTTGCCCTACAATATTACTAATATTGCAGAATTTGCAGTACAAAACCGTAATATTAATGTCTTTTATTGCAATATTACTGTTCGACACAGTAATATTAATATACTAATTAATTTTACCGTCTTGAACTACAGTATTGTTGTCTCCTACAATAATATTACTATTTGGGGCAATAATATTATTGTTTGGGACAGTAATATTAGTAATATTAGTGTTTTGGCGTTCAATATTACTATCTCTCACAATAATTTTTTTTTAACATTGTGATATAGATATAAAAATCAGATTCATAAAAAAAAAGTCAACGCTGGAATCTGATTGAAAAAAAAAACAATCAGGAAAAAAATCTAAAAAAAAAATATTTTACATATAAATTGTGAAAATGCGGGTTAATGTGGGATATTTGTTCAAATTCGGGGTCAACGTTCAGTATTGATGAAGTTAGAGTATAATGAATGATATTGACAAAAAATATATTATGAGGGGTATTTTAGACAAAAGTCATGGGGACGGGTTTATTTGCGAAACTGTTTTTGATCTGGACTTATGTGCATTTAAGTCTCTTGTCATAGTCATATTTGCCATTTGCCCATATCTATTAAATTCACCCAATTTTTATTATTTAGTCCGTGCAAAGTCCGAATTAATTAAAAAAATATCATTAAAGTTTTTAATTTCCGATCTTATTTTGTCCAGAAATTTTTTTTTTTTCTGATGGCGCTGTCCCTGAATCCCGGAAATTTAAGTCTACAAAATCCAAAATTTGAAACAATCATTAATGTCATAAATTTATTTACATTATCTTTTATTTTAATGAATATTCGCTCCAGGTTATTTGTATGCTACATCGGTAAATGTTAAATCGGGTGAATTTTTACCGTTGATCTGCACACACCAATATTAGTGTGTTTGATATAAATGGTAAAAATTTATCCGGTGTATTTCACCTGATGAACTTGTCTGATCTCGACAAGTTCATCTTAAAATCAAGTTTCAAAAGAAATTTTGTTATATGTTACTAACATCACCTGTTTTGGATAAATCAACAACCAAATAGGACCAAGTGTTGTCGAGATCATGAATTCATAAAGAAAGGATTGAATGATTTTGTAAACGACTTAAAGGGGTCTAGACTCTAGATGCATATATAGCTTGGAAGGGTAGAGCACAAGCCAGTGATGAAGGAGTTCAGATTTTATTTCTTTTACCTTAATCAAATCTCAACTATCAAAGACCATGTAGCACGAACAAGGGAATGCGGACATGGTGAAATGGGAAATTTTTATTTTCCAAAATGATGGATGCCGGAATGTGGGGAAACAAATAAGTATTAAAAATATAAGTGTACATCTATAATTTAAAAAATATATATAACATTTAACTTATATACTTATCATCGGTCACAGATTTATTATATATAATTTACAAGTTTCAATTCGAATTATCGTTCCACAAATTACATTACGGGCACATAAATTTATTCTAGTATGGATTTAGAATTTACGAAAAATATTATAACGCCACTAGAAGTGAATTTAAATGGTACATATGATTTAAGATCTTTTTAAGCGACGGCAATTCTGAGTCTTTATATAAAAGAGGTTGTGTTCCAACATGTATCATGACGTGCATCATAGCTCAAAGGAGATTATTTCTATTTGTTTTTCCAAATCTTACCCCTAGTCATAACCATACACACATATTTAATTCCTAAGGAACAATTACGGGTATTTAGTGGCAAGTCTAATATTATGTTAACAAATAACCATAGCTCAAATACTATAAGTAGACACGGCCACCGGCCGGGTTTGACCCAGACCCGACCCGATGACTGCCCCGCCCCATTGACCATGGACCCGACTAAGTTCGGGTTGGTTTCAGGTCCCCAATTCCAGGACCCGGGTATTAAACCGGTTTTTTTACAAAAAATGCACATTAGAGGGTTTTGAACCTGGAAAGATGGGTAAAAATAAACTATTCTTACCACTGAGCCAACCAACATCTTTGTTTTAATGTAGAGAATAAATATATATAATATAAAACGCTGGTGTAAATTGATAAATATGTTAAATAAATTATTAATTTTCATATTAATTGTTATTAAATAATTTTAATTAAATTATTAACAAATGCAATATAAGAAAGTTTTAAAAAAATATATAGAATCACGATTCAATACTTCAAAATATCTATTGTTAATTATTATATCAATATAATCTATACTATTGAAAAATATAAAGTATTGAATCAATTCAATATATAAACAAACGCGTTGACTTAATACAAACTCACTTATGTTATTAAAATCGATAGTGTGAAAAATTCGAGTGAAAAATAAAATAAGATGTTTATTTAAAAAATATGATTATAACTCATTTCAATTAATTTAAATCGATTAACCTCAATTGTTAACAATAATTATTAAAATCATTGATTATTTTATCATAAGATAATTATTTAAAAATATAGATGATGTTTATTTTAACAAAAATAGATTATATCTCATTCCAATTAATTTCTTACTTTAAAAATAAAACTATATATGACGAGTATAATCAAAATATTATGATGTGATTTTTGTTTTAATAATTGGGTTAGTTTGTAAAAATCGTAAGAATTAAATGGTAGATCTTTATGATTTAATCTTTTTTTTTACATTTACATTTTAATCAAATATTTGAATCGAATCGTAAGATTTAAATGAATTAAGCTCAAGTCCATTCAATTTTTTTTTATTATATTATATTTTTTAATAATTAAATTAAATTATTTAATAATAATGAATATGATAATTAATAATCTATTTAACATTATTTATTATAATCATTTTACACTTTTTGTTTATATTATATATATATATATTTCTTGTTATAATAATGCTAACTATAAATATATAAATATAAATAACACTATCAAATGATTATAATAATTGTATAACTAATGTTTTATAAATTATTAATTGTCGTGTTGACTATTATTAATATCACAAATCCAGACTAATAACAAATGCATATATATTTAATTTTGAAAAATAAAAAAAAATACGATTTAGTATAAAAGAAAGATTGAATATTGCTTTTTTTTGAATTTTGAAAATTTGAAAATTATTATTTTCACTTATAAATACCCATAATCCAATCTTCACAACTTTCATTTTATTTAGTTTATGTCTCAAGGTCTTAATCGTTTCATTTTTTTTCTAAAATTGTTTAATGTTTAAAATCAATTATTTTTTAAATTTTGAATTTAAAATTAATCTTATGTTTTTTCAAGTTTCAATATAAGTTTTTTTTGTTTAAAAAAAATTGAAAAACCGGGTGGACACGCCCCGGACCCGGACCCGGACCCACCTACCCGCGGGTCAGTTTTGGGTCCCCTAAAAGTCGGACCCGGACCCGGACCCAACCCGCCCCGTGGCCATGTCTAACTACAAGCAACTAGCACTACAAGAAAAGGGCCTTTGACAAAACGCGATACGTGTTGTTAAACTATATAGACAACACGCGCGTGAATGTTGTAGACCAAAATGACAATTTTCCAGTGTCGCGGAAAAGAACGTTCACTACTTACCTTTGTCGGAGTTAATTCAATGAATGAGTACTCAGAAGTGCAGTTGCAGAAATTCCGACCCAGGACGATTGAGTTTCGAGTTAATCTGGAAAATCATATGAGAGAAATACACAATTTCAATTGAAATAATAGCTCATGCATCATTTCTACTCAGATAGGGGGTATATATCATACCTCGTAACGCGAAGACTTGGAGGAATAGAAAAAACAAAAAACAAAAAACAAGAAGTGATCTAGTGGTAGAACAAGAGAACGTGATGTTGTTTAACTCAAATTCAGATTCATTTGTCAACGCTTTATAAAATCGTCACATGTGGTTTGCCTAGTCTGGTTTACATTACTCGTACGATTTGAGAACTATATATTTGCAAGAGTAGAAGTTTGGCTTAATCCTACTTTGCACCC